TTCTGCTTTTTCCAGGATTTTTACAAATTCTTTTGGGGGCTGGCCACATTTTTGGGTCAAAATTTCAAAAACTTAGTATAACAAGAATTGGCTCATGCAGATTGCATTGTTATGTCCTAAATATGCCTAGTATACATTTGTAACATCCCTGGAATGTTGTGCCATATTGGAATAATTCAATGAGTAAAATTGTCATGTTTGTCTGTCCACAACTGTCAAACAAGATATTTTGTGCATGACAGACCCACCATGGTCCTCATTGGAAGAACTGGATGAGTCATTTTATCAGTGATACATTGTACTGTTTTATGTGTTTCATCTTTTATTTTAGGATATAATTGTGGAATCTGTAGATAGACCTCAGTATGCTGACAAGCTACTGAGGGACTAAGTGCACAGCAGAGCAGAGCAGCAAGAGGCCTGATGACACAGCTAGGGCAGAGATGCTGAAAGATTGGAAAAACAAGTCAAGCACACTAGAAGGGAGTGGTCAGCTTGTCACCTATGAAACAATGTCAAAGAGAGACAAACTTGGATCTGTGCACAAGGCAGTCATGCCCACAAATGAACCTAAACAGCTCAGAACCTTCACAACACAAACCTTGACCCAAAAGCTTTGGTGCATCGACTGTATGTCTTCAGGGGATCACTAGAAGTAGTTTCAGCACAAATCCTGCATATGGGTCTCATCCTGGTGCCTCATCCACTCAATTCATCAAAGGTACTATTTGTCATGCTCCATCTTGAACATATTTCACCTGTTCATCCACATAGTATTCTCAGCCATATCCACCCATAGCCATAGCCCTATATTGTGCATCTGAGTGTCTCACATAGTAGTTCATTTCAGCACTTAATGGAAAACTGTTCTTCAATGTGTCATGCACTCTCAAGCTTCTTCCTGATGAGATTGCTAGAAATGGTTAGTAAGGACTTCTTCAGGAAAATGAAAGCCCCTTGTGGTGGGCTCCAGATGAAGAGAATTGATTTTTAGTAACATAGAAAAATTAGTTAGATAGGGTGAGTGCAGTCTTGACCCCAAAGGGGCTTTGTCCTGAAGAATTTGGGTGAAATAAGGGAAGACAAAACAACCCTAATACTTAGCTCTTGGTGCACTCCTGTTCCTGTTTGACCTTCAAATCCTCACCTTGTGTGAGTCTATATTCTATACTTCTCCTCCCTTGTACATGTGTGAACTTGACAGAAAAGTCTACAGTACTAGAACCTGTGAAAGCCCATAATCTCCCAGCCAAGTAAGATGCAATCATGCCAATAGCAAGCAAGGTTAGTGCTGATGCAGGCAGCACTTCCCAAGTTCTCAAGGACATATAGCACAAAACACCAAAAAAAGAACATGCCCCCTCCTTTTCAGCCCTCCTAGAACACTGATTTCCTTTCCCTTCCCTCCAGACCCCAGAAACCGAATTACCATAGGTGAAGACTTCATCTTCCCTACACTGCCTGCCTTGATAGATACAAAGATACATTTCATGTCCATGTCATTCCTAATGTACTCCAAGTTCCACTCATGTTTGGATGGACTCATAGATCCATCATCTAAATAATATGTCAGCAAGTTTGAAGATAGTCAGAAGGTCTCACACTCACAGTGAGTAAGTATGAAGCCTTTTGGCACTGAGGAACTTTTGTACCAAATCCAGCAAGGATGTGAAGTACAAGAATATGATCATTTTTCCTCAGCCTGCTGAATCACCATCAATCTTGAGAAGGTTGACCAGCTGTCTCATCTTTGCTGACAGGGCTGGAACATTGCATATCCCAGACACAGATTTATGACTAGAAAATTTCACTGTGGGGTTTGGTCAAGCCCATCACTAGCTGTACAACAGAAGGTACATCCTTATGTCTGGTTGTTGTCATCATCAGCTTCCAGATGAAGTCTGGTCAAGAGACCAATTCTCTGATGCACTGACTTCATCCACCCAATGAATCAGAAGACAACAATGCAGAGACATTTTCATTGACAACACCACTACAACACACAAGCATCAGGTGATCACAAGCTATGGAGCAGGCAAAATTAATCCTTAATGGCATAGCAGAGAACCAAGTCACTCACCTTGACAGAGGCGAAGAAGCATCTCCAAAACACAAGCAAAATGAGTCTTCACTATGTCCTGCTTTACCCATTCCTTGACCTTGGACCTGAGGTGCCCCTCAAGGCTATGGTATAGTCCTCATTCACCTTCATCAAACTGGTATCAAACTGCATGGGCATGACAGCCAGGGAATTGCAGTGCATCAATTTGAACAATGTCTTTCCAGTGAAAAAGCATAACAGCACTTAACACAACCTGCAGGATGCATGAATGCAAGTAATAAATGCACTACACCAGCCCACAAGTAATGGGAGTGGAACAGCACACCAATGCCAGGATGGGGGATGGTAGTGAATCTGGGTTCAAATTTGATATAACTGAGAATGCAGCACAATCAGTTCTTGGGAGATCTGGAGGCATATGATCATGGGCAGTTGAGGGTCATTGCTACTCAAGGGTAATGTAAAGCCAAATTCATCATTGAAGAATGTCATCCTCAAGCTAATGGCAATGGGGGCAATACTGGACACAGTGAACACACAGTGTCACAGGATCAAGAGAAAACACACATGTAGAGGCAGTCCAGTAAAGACCATCTGCAATTGCATATGAGAAGACCTCTGTCAAGTGTCTGAAATCTGGCATCATCAAGGGCAAGGCAAGACACAGTCAACAGAGATGGTCATGATGGTACCATTGTTGAGCAGGGTAATGATCAGCACCAGCCATAGTGGAATGCAATTGCAAGAATAGTGAAGTGGATGACAATACAAATAGTCATGGCACAAGTGCCATGCATATGTTGAATGATGATGAGGGAACCTCAGATGGTATGGACAATAGTGGAGAGACCAGGTTGTGTGAGGACAATACTGGCAGCAAGTCGAGCAACATCAGAGAATGGCCAGAGTGCTAGATCTCGCTGATCACCATGCCAGCTCAAAATTTGTGAATAATTGCCAAAGCTTCATAGTGTGCAGCCCTCAGACTTGAGTGCATGAGATCACTATTGTCATGCCTAGCAGCATTTTCAGTGATTATCAGAATCTGTATGTGCAAATGACTGGACTGAGAATTAAGTATGAGCCTACCTCTAAGTATCCACTGTAGGATCCATATGCTTCATCAAGTGGGGAGACTGAAACAATTACATAAGACCTTTCTAGCTGAATGACAGACCTGAGGCAAAGAATGTCCTTATGGATGTCATACTGACAAGGAGAACATGTTGACCAAGCTGGATGGGCTGGGAGAGTGCAGATGAGGATGGGATATACCAGGAGGCTTCAGGATGGAAGCTGGTAGGAATGCCTGGCAGATATACATAACCATTGTCCCTAGCAAAGGGGACAAGCAAAATGATTGACATGGAGGTGGTCATATCAGAAGGATTAGCAAATTGAGTGTCTGATGGATGGGGTGCTGTAGAAATGTGTAGGGTGTGAGGATCCTTTCCAAACTTGGATGGCAGGATCACATGGCTGAACACTACAAGCAAGTGTGGGAACAGAGTCAGTATCTTTGGAAATGGTGGGGATACAATGGAAACTGGAATGCCATACATGGGTACTAAGAATTTTTGATGGGTGCTTAACTGACTTCCTCTTTTCTGCTCTGGCACTGACAACTTGTTCTTGTGTGAAGGATGACCACTAACATCCATCTGTCCTTCTACACATTAGGGCTCTAGTCTGTCATCTTCATTCATGTCACCATGCATAAGTTGTTGTTGAGTTAGGCAGAATCAGCCATGACCATGTTGTGTGTGTGTTCATGTGCAACTCATTGACAAGTTAGGCAAGAGTCAGCTATGTTCATGGCCACATCTCCAAACACCTTTGGTGTGTGACACCATGCCTTCTGCTTCTCTTCATTATGCCACTTCCTCTTGGCCACCTTCACCTTGACCATAGGCTCCTTGTTGTCACTACCAATTTAGAGGTTGGGGGTGGCTGCTCATATCAGGTTGAGTGGAGTTTCATGGTCATACAGGGTGGTTGATTGGTGTGTAGACATGATGGTGGATGGGACTTGAGCAAGAACAGCACAAACAACTCTTTTTTAAACCCTGAGTAACACATGTCTTCTGCCAAGGTCTGCTGACCTCATATACCTTAGGGCAGGTCTCAAGGGCTTGACCCTAAGAGGGGTATACTGTCATATGCCAAACAACTCAGCACTCCAGTCCTTGACAGAGGAACACTGATAGTAGCTAGGTTGCCCCTTTTTCCTCTTTCAGTTAGACACTTACACTGCCCTCACCTGTGCCAAGGCAGTGTCTATCATTCAGACCTCAGTCTTAGCTTATATGCAGCCTAGGCATTGCATAACCTTTAGTACATTCTTGCACATCACTATTTAGTCATTTAGGTTACCAGTCCTTGGTATATGAGTCTTAGCTAGTACTCAGTCTTCAGCCTTTGGTCCCCCTGTCTTGTCCCAGACTTAACACTTCATCCTATAGACTTCAGTCTGAAATCAACTCAGTCTTGTCTCAGAACTCAGGCTTCTGTGGTGAGAATACTTAATATTAACAAGCTAACCTAATGGAAGACTTATGGTAGTATGTCAGCAAGGTAGCTGTAAGTTTAATATAGTAGAACATACCTCAGGCTTCTGTGGTAAGAAGGCTGATGTGCACAAGGAAAAATAATCAGCCTAAGTGCAAAGAAATATTATGTAAGCTTGTCAACTGTTAGCAAATAAACATAGGGGACACATGTTCTAACAAATATGGCTGGCTGAAAGTGGTTCTGCTAATCTGAATGGTCTGGGAGAAATGTAATTTTCTGAGTATCTGAAGTTCTGAAGTCCCAAAATCAGAACTTTCAGAAATTTTCAGATCAGCAGAACTGCCTCCCTGACTTCAGATGTTTCAGATGTTCAGATCTTTTGTCAATTTGCTGATGCTGGAGAGGCTAAAGTTTTCTCCTCTGGGCAGACCATGCAGCTTGGCTGCATGACCTTCCTGACCAATATTTGGCTGATGCCATGTCCACTGCAAAGAAAACACCCACAGCCCAAGGTTTGAAGAACTACAAGTTAGTCCTTTCAGATTTCAGTACTGATAATGTGATTTGGCATGCAGCCTAATGGTCGCATTGCCCACTGGGAAGTTGACCACAGCCATTCACACCTTATTCTCAAGCCTTCTGTGAGCAATGATGAGAATTTGATTGCTGGATCACCAGCAAAGAAGGCTCCTATGGGTGACTTGAAAGCCTTAAATGAGGAACTGGTTGAGAAACCAAACAAATTGTAGCAACAGCACACTGTTCCAGTATTACAATGGAATCATTGGATGCATGTCAATCATTGAGCTTGTAACACTGTACTACTATTCAATGCAGTTACACACTTGAGGCCAGGATCAACAGGTGCAGTAGTGTAAGAGTCTGTATAGGACAGGAACCCACACCATGCCAGACTTGTAACATGGCTGGTGTATACTTATCATTATCATTTCAGAATGGATTGGAGAGGGTGTTTGAACAACTTGTTTCCTTGAGCGTTCTGACCTCATCAAGATTGAGTTTGATTGTTTGTGATGTGCAATGTCAGGCCATTGTGGTTTCAAGTCAACCTACAGAAATTCCATCTTCACTGTTACATTTACAATATGTTGGTTCAATATTTGGAAGTTCTGCCCATGTACACCTCTCATTTTCCTCCTTTCCCCATCAACAATTTCTTTGCTGAAACCATCTGAGAATAAATGTTGTATAAGCACTAAATATGTCAACTTACACATGCAATTCTCCATTATGATCTTCAGAGTAGCATCACATAAGCCATCAACATTCCCATTGTGATCATGAAAATCTGCCTTGATAGATTGGGAAATGGTAGTCTGGTTATTGGAGCTTTTGAATTGCTCCACACTCAATAACAAAGCCTCCTCCCAGGTATGATGGCCATGCTGCATTAAAAAGTAAGCATGCTCTGTAACAAGTAAGCACGCTAGGAAAGGAGTAAATGTGGTGTGTGTAGTGATGAGCAAACCCCTACCAATAGCATGTTCAGCTACTGCCTGGACAGTTGGGAACTCATTCAACAAAGTGACATCTTTGGAGAGAGGTGGCATGTCAATGTAAGGGTCCACTTCAAATTGTGGCTGTGATTATACATGTATTCCTTAGATGAGAGAAAATAATAATCCAGCACTTACCAGCTAAAAATTTTGATAGTACAAATCAGAGCCATAAATAAGGTGCTGTCATGGATAATGAAATACATCTACTGACCTCCTGTGTCACACCAAAGCCACCATAGACAATGATAATCAGAATATATTCACTCTATCAATACAAGATCACTCACTTTCTATCATGTGGGGAGGCATTGAAGGAGCAGTAAACTCAGCAGACAGTTGGGGCAACATTCCCAAATTACTCACAGCCTAGTGAAGTGTGATGAGAAGGATGGAGGTGAAACTAAGCAGGAAGGGTCCATTGTTGCTCTAACAGACTCACATTCTGCCATACCATCAATATGAAGGCCCAGTCAGCAGAGAACCAGCAAAATATGCCATGAAAGCACCCACATCCTGTGATGCCACAAACATGAAACATCCAAGTGAACCCAGTCAGCAAAGACCCAGCTTGAAATAGCATAGAATGCTCACATCCTGTTATACCACCAACAAGAAGGGTACAATGGGGCTCAGTCAGTAGATATCCAGCTAAACATACCATGAAATGCTCACAAGCTGTCATGCCACCAACATACCCCAGAGTGCAATGAGCACAGTCAACAGGGATTCAGTTGAACATGCCATGGAATACTCACTTCCTGTTATGCCAGCAGCAGAAAGTGTGCAGGTAAACACAGTCAGCAAAGATCTAGCCAAGAATACCATAAAATCACTCACAAACTGTCATGCCACCAACATGAAGAGTACAAGTGAGTACAGTCAGCAGAGGACCAGCTGAAAATGCCATAAATCACTCACAAACTGTCATGCCAAAAACATGAAGAATGCAGTCAACAAACATCCAGCTGAACATGCAATGAAATGACTCACTTGCTGTCATGCCACCAATGTCAAAATTATAAGTGAGCCCATTCCATAATGATCCAGCTGAAATGCTATGACATCACTCACTCGCTGTCATTGAAGGGGGGAAGCAGTGAGCAGTCAGTAGGGATGCAGCCAAATATGCCAGGAAATCACACACCCACTGTAATGCCATCAATATGGAAAGTGCAAGTGAACCCAACCTGTAAGCTGAAATTCAGTTGAACATAGCATGAAATCACTGACTCCCTGTCATGCCACAAACATGAGGAGTCAATTAACCCCAGTCAGCAGAGATCCAGCATTAGATGCCATGAAATCTCTCACTCTCTGTCATGCCACCAACATGGCAAGTGCCCAGTCAGCAGATATCCACTTGCAGATGTCAAGAAATCTCTCACAAACTGTGATCCCACCAAATTGCAGAGTGCCCTGTCAGCAATTACCCCACTGTAGATGCCAAGAAATCACTCACTCCCTGTCATTCCACCAACATGAAGAGCCCCAAATGAGCCCAATGAGCAGAGATCCAGTTGATCACACTATGAAATCACTGACATCCTATTATACCACAAGTCATGAGGTGTGTGAGTGAGCCCAGTGGCCCCAGTCAACTGACCATGCCATAAATACACTCACTTCCTGTCATGCCACCATCAGAGAGCACACAAGTGACCCCAGTCAGCAAATATCTAGCTAAACTTGCCACAATATCACACACCCACTGTTATACCATGGCAGCATGAAGTGAGCATGTCAGGAGAGACTCAGCTAAAGCTGCTGTGAAAACACTCACATCCTGTCATTCCACCAACATGGATGAGCCTACTCAGCAGAAATTTCATTGAACATGCCAAGAAATTACTCACTCCCTGCCATACCACCAACATGAAGAGTGCAAGTAAGTACAGTCAGCAGGGATCCAGCTGAACATATGAAGTTACTTACAAGCTGTCAAGCCACCAATGGAAAGAGTGCAAGTGAGCCCAGTCAGCAGAGATCCAGCTGAGAATGCCATGAAATTACTCACTCGCTGACATGCCACCAAAATGAAGTGTAAGTGAGCCATTTAACAGAGATCCTGTTGAACATGCCATTAAATCACATACCGACTGTCAAGCCACCATAATGAAACATGGAGTAAGCCCAGTCAGGAGAGATCCAGCTGAAATCATCACAAAATTACTCACTCCCTGCCATGGCATCAACATAAAGTGTGCAAGTCAGCAGATATCTATTTGAACAACCCATAAAATTACTCACTCCCTGTCATGCAACCAAGATGAAGAGCACAAGTAAGTTCAGTCAGCAAAGATCTGGCAGCTTAGCATGCCATGAAATCACTCACTTTCTGTCATGCCACCAATTGAGAGTGAAAGTCAGAATAGTCAGCCAATATCTACTAAACATGCTATGAAATCACTCACAAACTGACATTCCAACAACATGAAGAATGCTTTGTCAGCAGAGAATAAACCAAAGATGCCAAGAAATCACTCACACCCTACCAATGCAAAGAGTGCAATTGAGCACAGTCACAAGAGATCCAGTGAAACCTGCCAAGAAATCACTCACATACTGTCACATCATCAGCACAAAGAATGTCAGTTAGCAGAAACCCAGCAGAACATACCACAAAATCACTCACTCGCTGACACAAAGCATGCACATGAGCACAGTCAAGAGAGATCCAGTGGAACATGCCAAGAAATCACTCACATACTGTTATGTCACCAGCATGAAGAGCATCAATCAGTAGAGATATAACTGAATTTACCAAGAAATCACTCACTCCCTATGATACCATCAACATGAAGAGTACAAGTGAGCCTAGTCAGCAGATATCTTGCTGACCACACCTTGAAACCACTCACTCCCTACCAATGTGAAGAGAGCAAGTGAGTGCAGTCAGGAGAGATGCAGTTACATTTGCTAAGAAATTACTCACATACTGTTATGATGTCACCAGCATGAAGACAGTACCAGTTAGCAAAGATCCAGCAGAACATGCCACAAAATCACTCACTCGCTGATAAGAGAGATGCAAGTGAGCAAAGATCCAGCTGAGCATGCCATAAAACCACTCACCCCCTGTCACATCATGAAGCATGCAAGTGAGTCCAGTCAGTAGAGATCCAGCTAAACTTGATGATATCACATACCCACTGTCATACCACAAACATGACATGTGTAAGTCAGGAGAGATCCATCTAACCACACCATGAAAACACTCACATACTGTCATGGCACCCACATGAAGAGAAGTGAGTCACCACACCAGCAGAGATCCACCACATCATGAAACTACTCACTTTCTGTTGAAGGAGCAAGTGAAACCAGAATAGGAATGTCATTGAGCCCACAATACATATGTTTGGTGAGATATTCAGCCACCCACCTCACAATTTGGAAACCAGCTCATCAGAACATGTTCAAAAAATTTCACATCTAGCACAAATCTGCCCTGAGGGTACTGCTGCATGCATTTTTTCAATGTCCTTCACAATATCAGTATCTTTGTCCAAATACAGTTGCTTACTTACTTCTGTACAGCATACTCAACACATAGTGCAACACTTGACTGCTGTGTTGATATCAGCAGCTTTTGTAAACCTTCCTCATTCAAAGAATTTGCTGTGCTCTGCATCAAAGTAGTACAGTCTGCATCCTGTTCATGCATCTCTGTCATCCATGTTTTTGAGCAGGACTTTCTCAGAGTAAAGTATGAAAACTCACTTTGAAGTGACACATATGCTCTAGGTGGAAAGTTGCACTTGTGAAGCATATCCTTTATGTGTGCACACCACTTTTCCAGCAATTTTCTTTCCTTTTCTACAACTTTGTCCTCTTCTATCTCCAAGCCTTCATCTTCAAGTTCTTGAACAGCATCAAGATTCAGAGTGTCTGCCTTTGTCAATACCACTATCAGAGGAACTAAGTGGATATGAGGTTCACAACAACTACATATACCTCACCAAGAGTCCTTACCATGTCCTGTGTCACATTCATTGAAGAATTTTTCCTCAGCAGCAGTCACTGTCCTGTGGCACTCAGCCATTGGGATGCAAAACCTAGGCTTATCTGTCACCCTAGCCTGTACCCACTCCCAATGTGATCCTTACCAGATGGCATGGATCCGCTCATTCACCTTCCTCGTGGTTGCACGGTCAACCACAAACTTCTTCATTTCATCATACTGGTGTGTACTTCCAGCCTCAAAACCACAGGAATCATGGAATACAAATCCTGGGTTGCTCTGAAATAATATCTCATGTTCAATATTATGGTAGCCACGCTGAAAGTACTCAGCTTCATTATCATGGGTAAACAGGGTACCTTACTGTCAAGGTGCCTTGCACAGCGACACCATCAATCTAAGAATTGTCACAAAAGTGCATGTAACCCTATATATATTACTATACCTTGTTTCCTTTCCCATCATAAACCTCTGGCTCAGCTGTGGAGTTGCAGACCCTTTGGAGGATGGTGGTTTTACCTGCGTTCGCTCTGCCCATAATCAGGATTCGAAATCGCTTGATGTTTTTCATGTACTCTTTAGCCCGTTCAGGGCTGAGGCAACAAGCAGGCGCAGAAGATGTAGTTGCTGTAAGTTGGCATTAGACAGTTTGGAATTTACCAGGTGCTGATGGCAAACACACTTTCAGTGGTATCTTCAATCTGAGCGAGCACTGGACCAGCTTCGTCGCCTCCAAGATTGCTAGTTACTGTATTCCCATCTTATGTAAATGCAATACCTTACATTTTCATAAACTAAGACACTCCTACCTAGTGTTGCCGCCGAGGTGAGGTGACTTCGAGGTGAAGTTTCAGTCGTACCGGTTTTGTTGGAGGGATGAGAACCTCCGCCGCCTGCAAGCGAGAGCGACTTGAGCCAGTTTTTGATATGACCAGCAGCCATGTAAACACCAGATGTGATTCTCGATACCTCGTAGTGCAGGGGAACAGGCGTGTGGAAGGTCAACTTAACGTAAGGTGGTCGCAGTCGTGGTGAGGGCTAGAGACCCAATGTGATCACTGATATCGAGGCGCCTATCGACGCCAGTCTGACACGGCCCGGTATGCCTTAGCACTGCCTACAAACTAACGTCTTCGAAGACGCATCTGTGCCCACATTCACTACTCTCGATCTTTTCCGAGATTACAGTACTCATCTCTTGCATCTGGCGGCTGCTATTCCGCCATCGGTGTCCATGACGGCGCCCGGAGATTTTCCTCCACCGGCTCACGCCACTCCCACTCACAGTGTTAGTTACATTGGGGACTTTCTTCCACTTCATAGTCTCCGGAGCGGAATACGCTCCAGTTAATTGCGTTGGAGAGATGTGATTTTAACGTCCCGACAACTTGATTTAGCTGTTGGCACGCAGAACAAGAATCGCATCACCAGTCGCCTATCAGGAAATTGACCGCGGTGTCGATTTCTTCGCCATTCCCAAACCTTCCGCGAGCAACAGTGACTCTAGGCTTGGTTGTTGGATGACCAACAAAGAGGGTTCCATGGACGACTTGATGGCCCAGCGGGAGGGACTTTTCAAATAGACCAGGCAAATACAGCTCTGCAGTGTTAGATCCGAATCATCGTATGTATGTCAATCGTCAATCATTGAACTTCTGCTTTTATCTTATCAAAATTACGCATGCATTTGCATAGCATTTGAGGTCGGGATCCGTCGCCAGGAAATCTAATATACGGCATCGAGCAAAACATACCTCGATAGTATACAGCAATTCAATCTTCCCTCCGCTCAAAAATAACCTTCGTCCGCTCGGCCATATCACCCCCATTCCCCACATGTCCTTTCCTCTCCGTGACCGGGGCCACGAGAATGCGCCACTTGGATTTTGGCGATGCAACAAGGCATTGCGCACAGCCGCGTCACCTCAGTTGAGAAATAGCGGAAGAAACTTTGGCCCTCCAAGAGGACTGGATGATTAACTGAGATCGCTCTGCGGTGTGAGTCCCGTAACCTCATCTTCGTCCGTACATGTATGTAATGAGAGTGCGTGGAATGAGGAGGTACTGACGCAGCTCGGCGAAGGAAGTTTTCCCTGCCTGACCCGAGCATCATAGCTTGTTAAGAGAACTTCTCCCTAAGGTATTACAACAATTTGCGAAAATAATGTCAGTAGCAAAATATTTATGAGCGCGTCGTGAGCTCCGCCCAATAAGGAAATGTACCAAGCCGGCATGAAACCACTAGTGAGACTAACTACTGGCATCACCGCGACTCACGAAAATCTCACTGGCGACGGGTCAGCGCTTCAGCACTCGCGGTCGTCGACGAAACGAGCAAGAACGAGCGCATGCCCTCCCAGCACCATGGAAGAGTAGCATATAGTCACTGTGCACAGCTAAAGGATGTGTTTATTCGAGATAATAGATACTATGTGCTGCAATGATAGTGGATGGGTACATTGCAGCACGTGTTGAGGGCTCCTTCGATGCAAAGCAGTTTTACAGTTTCATTGCAGAAGAAGCGGTATGTATTTACTGCGCCATCTCAGGAGTACATGATGTAGTCTGGCCATATGCACTGGTAGTACGTAGGCCAACAAATTCCTACATTTCCATATCGGGCAGAGCTCAAGCGCTCACGACACGCTCACAAATATCTGACAATATTTTCGCAAACCGCTGTAAGCGAGATTGTGGAGAGACGCATCACAATCAGGTTGCCCTGGCGGACAGAGCCCTAGTGCTACATGTCGAAATTTTAGATTTTGAAATTTCTAACTAGTGTGATGGCTTCTTCCAACTCGGCGACTACCCCCTGATTCTCGTACCTATCCGAAAGACAGAGAGCCAGGTAATGGAGCGAAGAAGAGCGATCAGGATGTCCAGAGGGACGGAGTTCAGTGCTTCCTGGTGCAGCTTAATCGCTTCGCCCAAGTCCTGCATCCCAGCTTGTTTCTGGAACCTCATCCTGAGATTACGAGCGAGATTGTTGAGAGATACGTCACGATCAGAGTGTCCTGGCGGACAGAGCTCTAGTGTTGCACGTTCGAGTGTGACAGCTTCTTCCAGGTCGGCAACTACCCCCTGATTCTCGTACCTATCCGAAAGACAGAGAGCCAGGTAATGGAATCAGGATGTCCAGAGGAGCGGAATTCCAATGCTGCACGGTGTAAACCGATTGCCTCGTCCATGTCGTCAATTTTCCCCTCTGCCCGAAACCTGTCGTAGAGGGCTGCCGCAAGGTTGTAGAGAGCATGATCCCGGTCCTTATGCCCCGGTGGACAACGTTCCAGCTCTGCTCGCTTGTCTGAAACGTTGTCTGTCAGATCCATTGGATGCTGCTACACCGGGACAATGACGGGGTGTAAATGGTTGTGCCTTAGGGGAAGGCTCAGTAATCAGCTGCAATAAGCAAGGAACAGCAGAGCCATACGTGATCCTTGGATACCAGGAAGATATGAGGGGAAGCAACCGTTAATGTCAGAATGCTACCCGAATCAGCAAAACTGATTAGTGTAACGATGGTGAAAGAACTCACGGGTAAACACACAGTACAGAGCAGATAATCTTGAGTGTCGGTGAATTTCAGGTTCTAGATGGAACCGCTTGGAGATCAATGCAAGTAACAGAACGATGAACCAATAGGGACTTCAACGATGGATGGAAAGAGGGCCAGTTGGTTGGCAGTGAGCGGAAAGGCAATTGTACGCTGCTCCAGTCTCGCAGATCAAAGAGCCGGGAAGGAGCTCACCACAGTTGGCCAATGTCGAGATGTGAGAGAGGACAGGAAGCTGAGGTCCATGAAAAGCACGGGTCACTACTATTCCTGTGCCTTCGGCCCCGCCTGGACCACATGTCTGTCGGAGTTCTGACGCTCGATACTTGTCCCAACTGTATGTAGCTTCTTGATCAGCGCTTGCTTCTTTCACACAGCCAGGTTGCCTCGGACCAAGCCGTCATCATCGCTATGGTCTGGGCAAGGCATGCGTCCCTACTAACAGCTGTCCCAGCTCAACCGCCCCCAGACACATCACGTGACATCACGGCGGTAACCCACATTAGGAATGTCGGAAGTGTAAGTGTGGACGAGGCAGTAAAAAATCTATTACATGGTGATGCACTCCATATGTATGCCACAATAGATGTGAGTTGCGCCCACGTCTCTCAGTTTTTTGCAGGATGGAAGTACTATCATGTGATGAGCAATGCACAATGGACAGGTAATGCACAATTGTGTTCCCTGCCCACAACACTCAAGATATTCATAATATAACATCATGGGCACATTGCCATAGGCATATTCTACTAGCTAGTGTGCTTCAATGTAAAAAAAACATAATGTGGTAGCTCTCTAGCATGCAAACTTCAAGGAAGGTGGCGGGAACCACCCCATTTTTATGGTATTTTGACCCAGATCCCAGAGATCTACTAGGGCATTGGACTCAAATTTTTCGAGTTAGTCGCATCGTATCCATACAAATATTCACAGCACATTGTTTCAGTGAAACAAAGGAAGACTCGACTGCAATATTCATGATTGTGCTAGAGTGTGACAGAAATCAAGTATAGGGGCGTCACGCGCGTCAGCACATTCAGACTCCGTTTAAATAGGGAATTCAGCGAAGCACGATAATCGGGCGGAGTACAATTGTTAACACTGCGGAGCTTAATTTATGCGTGCGGAGATGACTGTCAGGAGTGACATGGTGTGACAAAATTGTGCATTACCTATACTTTTAGACATGTCGTTTACAAGGCTCACTGGTACACGCATTTTAGCATATTTTATCGAGGTTTTTGCACAGGCCTGTAGCAAAGACCTGCCTCTATCAGGTCCCCGAATCCCGAGTTCAAGAAATCTTGTTGTTGTGTAGCTATTCCAAATTTTGTAAAAATTGTGCATTACCTGTCGCATGATAGTACTCAATGATAGCTTTCTGTTGGTCATGGGCTCTTCCTGACAGGCCAAGCGGTTCCAGAGTTATTTACATTTTTGTGGGAAGGGCAACCCTTGAGGTCTTGTCACTGTATCTCGTGTGTCGTCGCGCCGTTTCTCTCGCCTTTCGAATCTTTCGTTCCCCTTTCCGAGCCCTCGCTGGGGATGCCTCCTTTGTTCAATTCCGCGCAGTCATTATAGAGATACGTCCGTTTTTGTGTTAGGAGTGCTGGGCGATGCTTTTGCACATACCTCGTGACCGGCTGACCAAGTTGCTGCAGTTCCCTTTTCTCTGCACTCGTCTAGGTGTCCCCTATCATCTCCCAGTGCTTTGTGCTGGTCCCCCCAGCCGTTGTCATTCAGGCGACTCTCCTCTCCCCACCTTTGAGGACTTGAGATCGTATCTCACGTGTTTCTCCGCCGTTCCTCTCGCATTTTTGGCAGTTTGTCCCCCTCGCTGAACACTTCCTGGGAATGTCTCGTTTATCCAGTTCCGCACAGCCGTTGTCGAGATATGCCCGTTTTCGTATTCAGAGGGTGATGAGGCAACTTTGGGTATAGCTCTGGATTGAGTGGTCGAAATGGCGTGGTTCCTTTTTCTCCGTATACGTCTGCGGGTTCCCTACCGTCTCCCGGATTTTGGTGTCAATCCCCCCAGCTGTTGTCGTTCGAGGGTCTCCCCTCTCCCTCCCCCAGGTGAAACCTCACGGGTGCATGTGTAATATCTCCCCCGTTTCGCCGTCATACTCCTCGCTTTTTCAGAATATGGTACTACTTGACGAGGCCTTCCAAGTGGTGTATGGTACGTTGCGCTTGCTGCAGTGGATGTAGAAGGATCTCTGGATTTGCAGTTGGAGGCACCTTCAGACGATTTTGCAAATATCTTGCGACAGGATTCGCGGATTCCCTCCGTTCTTTTTTTACCATGTTATTCGCATTCCCCTCTACTGATGCCCCTCGTTTCGCATCGTTCCGAGCAGTTGTTGTTCGGCGACGTGCCCTTGTCCCCTTCCCCTTCTCATCATTGCCATCTGCCTAGGAACTACCCTTGGGTTGACCGGGGGCAGTCAAGATCTCAAGGCCCCCTCAGATGTACGGAGTTGGTTTTCCCTATGAAGGGATTTGGTTTATGTGCTTTATTTTTGTTGATTTCCTTTCTTACTTATGACTACTGTGTTTTTGCTTCATAGTATGCATTTTTGCATGCTTAGTCAGCACCCAGTAGCACAAGTGCATAGGTCTTTTTATTGTACAAAAACAATAGATGAATTACAGCCTACCCAGAGATGAGAGACAGTTCGAGCAGGCATCTATGGGCCCAGGACATAAGATAACAAGGGTTGCATTGTGCAAAACATGTGCATGTCAGACTCGGAAGACCAAACAACACTGCCAAAAAGATGCTGCCGGTATGTCACGTGACATCACGTGACATGTCGGGGGGCAGTTGAGCAAGGGAAGCTGTCATTATCCTGGGGGGCCCCCTTGGAGTTGTACCACCATGTATGAGTCAAGTGGCACACCACTTTCATGCCACTCCATCCATTGTTTCCAAACAATGGATGAGTTTATGCCCCAAACCAGGCGAAAAGCCTCAATGGGAGGGCCCCCTGGTTCTGTGAATTTTGAGTATATATGGCATTTTATCTAAGATATCACTACAAGCATTTCACAATTTTTCATCAGGGAAGATGCTGACAAAGTTGAAGGAAAAGATACCATGTTATTTTGGATGTTTTCACAAACAAAATCAAAAAATAATATTGGATTTTCTTTGTCTTCTCTACTGGTAAACATGAATTAATGGTAATACCCTCTAGAGTTGAACCTAATGGACATTACCAACAATTAATGTTTATAGGTAGGTTATGCAAAGCAAATACAACATTACTTTTGGATTTTTTCTGTGAAAACACTGGAAATGAAACAGTATCTCTTTCTTCAATTCTTTCACCATGTTTACTCACCACAAAGTGTGAAATGCTTGCAGTGTATAGGGCAAATGTGTAAAATATTATGTATGGAATATCCATTTCTGTCAATCTTTCAATGACACATGGGTGGCATTGGCATGGCTTATAATGGAAGTGTGAACAGCCACCCTTAACAGGTATTCCTGGACTCTGTCAGGCCTGGTCTGCAAACTCTTTGTCCTCAACAATCATACCAGACCATTAAGTCCAGTCACATGGCCTTTTGGGGGCAACTTGCATGTGTTGCGGTTCTGGCATTTTGTTTGTGTTCATCATGTTGGTGAGCATTGTGCAGACAACCATGGACAGTGGCATGTGCCACTTGTGTATTGACATTGCTGGGGTCAGTAATGTCATTGCCATCAGTTACAAGTTTATTCAGCAAGAATATATGCTGGACCATGTTACTATACACAAGGAATTTACTGCTGAGTCTGTGTATCCTAGAGGATCATTGTTGGTATGTTGTACAAACTCAGTATGTGAGTTTGTGGAACAGTACCCTTTCCTGACATTGAAGGATATTAAGTCTATCACAGAATTTCACAAAGTGGTTCTGCTTCAACATCTGCACCACTGGGGGTGTGTCAATGCCCTCCATGTTCAAGTGTACTACTACTTGTCTGTTTCTCTTGTATGTGTTTCAACAGCTAAAGACTGCTTGGAGAGGGAGATGCCTTCTTCCTGCTTTGCAACCAGCAATTTTGCTTGAGAGAAATGTCACTGATGTTAGAGCCATCAAGAGAGGTACCAAGCTGGTTTGATGTCAACAGGTAGTAAGGGGGGGATGTCAATGAGGGGCCATGCCCTTATCACCCTATGAGATCATTGAGTGAAAAGCTTGACATCATCTGTGATTGGCAGACTCATAAACAACAGTTATGTCATCTACCATCCCATGTAGTCATCATAAATGCGTGTCCCATAAACTTTTCCATTCACTCCCTCACCTGATAGAATCACCTGTAGAATCACTTGTAAATCAAAATAGCTTCATCATGTGCTTTCCCCAAATGTGTCCAGGAGTGCCCAGAGAGCTTTGGTATTATAAGGCTCTTAGCATGTTGTGAGTCAAAGTGTGGAGAGCTGGTGTAAACCAAACAAAACCAACACAAAAGACAACAAAGTGCAAGTGGTGGTTTACCTCCACAGAACCTGGAGGACAGAAAAATCTAATGTGGGGGGGATTTCAAAGGCAGGTGCTCCTCACACAAGTTGTCAATGAGTTATGCAGGAGTGGAGGAATGAGTGGTGAGAGGGTGAAGGATGCTGAACAGAGTGAAGGTATTCAGCTGAAAGTACTCCTGGCACAAGTTGTTGTCAAGCTATGTGGGAGTGGATGAATGGATAATGACTGTGAGAGAGATGCTGACTGGAGTAAGGAACTTGGATAAAATGTGCTCCTAGCACAAGTTGATGTTGAGTTATGCAGGAGTGGAGGGATGACTAATCAAATGTGCTGACTAAGCACAGATGACACTTCAGATGATAAATGAAGGTAGATAGACCCTTGATGGAGCCTCAACTGTTGATGACAAGTTAGGTCTGAGATGAGCTGAACTGATTCCTGAATGACTTCTTGATTGCTTTTTTGTAGCTAAGTACAGGGGGTTTATATACTGTGGGGGGAGCACAGCCTATGACAAATGAGGCACAAACTCTTGGTAAGTAATGAGTAAGGACTATAAGCAATGAGTAATCATGATGAGTAAGCAAGAAATGAAAAATAAGCAAGCATAGAAGATTGGTAAGTATTGACAACAAACAAGTCAAGGACAGTCAAAATATCACAGTATGAGTCAAAGAATGTCAAAATCTGAGTAAGCACACTAGTATCACATTAGGGGGTGGCAATGCATGTCAGATCTTGGTGGAGACATCACTAGATCAAAAGATGGGATGACAGATGGATGGTGTTTCCAGATAGGGAAGTATAAACTCCAGAAATGGATGGCATGAGTCAGGTGTTAAAGGGCTTGGGCATTGGGGGTCTGTGGGGTAATGGGAGCATAGGTGATCATGCCTCCCACCCATTCATCCTCTCAGCAAAGACAATAAAAGCTCCATGAACAGGGCTCTGATGGAGGAGAGGGAGAAGGGGGGACATCTGCTGGGTCTTGCAGTAAGATGGCAAGATGCATGTCATACCCATCATGGATGCAATCAGGGAGGCTGGAGAACAGTAGATTATACTGCAGCTGTTGCAATGTGGGGAGAATGATGGACAAGATTGGAATAAAGACATTGCAGGGAGCAGGGAGGAAGGAACCATATGCTTCACCAAGTGGGGAGACCAAAATGACCACATAAGACCTTTGTAACCAAGTGATAAACCTAAGGCAACCAAAGAATGTCCTTCTGGAAGTCATACTGACAAGGAGAACACACTGACCAAGCTGCATGGGATGGGACAGGGCTGATGACAATGGAATGAACAAGGGGGATTCAGGACAGAAGCTGATGGGAACACCTGGCAGATATACATAGCCACTGTCTCTGGAAAGGAGACAAGCAAGATGATTGATGAAGAGGCAGCCATATCTGATGGACTTAGCAAAATGAGTGTCTGATGGATGGAGTGTTGTAGAAATGCATAGGGTGTGAGGATCCTTTCCAAACTCAGAAGGCAGAATCATGTGGCTGATTGATGGGTGCTTGACTTGCTTCCTCTTTTCTCTCTAGCACTGACAACTCATTCTTGTGTGAAGGATGACTGCTAACATCCAGCAGTCTTTCTATGCATGAGGACTTTAGTCTTCATCTGCATGGCATGGTGTGCAACTCATCAATGGGGTAGGATCCCCTTTTTCAGCAAAGCACTTTTCTGAGCAGGTAAAACAATTGTTTTTAACCCATTTTCTGACAACCTTGGGTGGTGTCACACACCAAAGGTGTTGTGGACATGGTTACAGCTGACTCTGCCTAACCCAGGTTTGGCTTTAAAAACCCAATTTAATGACATTTGGTCCATGTTTGACATAAATTCCTTAAAAACTTGAGTACTGGGTCCAATATGTAATGTACAGGACTTTTGGGAAACTGGGGATTTGGCCTCTAGAGAACTCCCTGTTACTCTACCAACTTGACTCCCAATTCTCTTTGAATGGCCTCCATCAGCTGATCTTGTTTTTCCCATGCCTGACTGTGTGTTGATCTACTGATGTGCCTTCTTTGTGGATGATGGGGTCCTCATAGATCATGATGCCTGGTTATTTGATTTAGGCACCACCGTACTCAAGAACACCAAATGGGTCATTTCTAGACAATGAACATGTAATCTAAGCAACTTAGCTATGCAATGGAATAAGGAATAGTTGAATATGATTGCATGTGTCTATAATCCTATGCTGTCAGCACAGGATTTGCTAGTTGAACATGATCATATTCAGACCAAAATTAGTAATAACCATACATGCGCTATACATGATGCAGAGCTTATCTTGGCAGAACAAAACCTTAACTCACTGTTGGCCTTCCTAGGCCTGGCAGTAGATCTAGGCTTTATAGTTGCTGATGCCAAGACACAGCATGTCCTGAGAGAATGGAATTATTCCTGGACTGTTACAGCCTTGCCCTGAAGGACCCAATCATAATTAGACCATATAAGGACTAATGGAACCTTATCTTGACACTTCATGGGAAGTCACAGGGACAATGATTGGGCTATGTATGAGCCCTATTTCCTATTGGATTATCATATATGGCCACATCATATGTGTTTGTCTAGATGTATCCCTATGACATCATATGACATCACCAATGATGCAATCATCAATAAGCAACAAGCCTGCCCTAAAGACACTGGGGTGTATATAAAGGCTTTTGAAAATCCACTGAAGAGCTGCATCTACAGTGAAATTCCTTGGTGGCTTTGATGAGCCATGAAAATTTGGATTTTCAGTACAGTGCAGCCCACTACATTTTTTGTTTTATCCCCTCCACCTATGGCAAAGTCCCCTTTTTCTGATGTAGAAGTGATTCCTTCAAGATGTGACATGCACAGTCTCCTCCTAATGTGATTTCAGTGTGCTTACTCAGTTTCTGACATTGCTTGACTCATATTTTGAAATTCTGACTGTCCTTGACTCATCTGTTGCAAATGCTTACCAATCTTTTGACTTTGCTTACTGATTCTTTCTTTTTGGCTTACTTATCCTTACCAATGCTCACCAATGCTTTCTAAGTTGATTACCCACTGCTTACATTCCTTACTTATCAGTTACCAATCACTTACCAAGTGTTTACACCTTGTTTTCCATAGGCAATACCCCTGTACTGTACATAAATCACTGTACTTAGATAGCTGAAAACTGAAAGAAGACATCAGAGAGAGCTCCCCTCACTTGCATTTCATTGTCCCTCAGTAATTCATTCATCAGCTTCAATAGTTGAGACTTTATTAAGGGTCTAACTATTGTCTACTTTGCCTATCATTGCCTATCATCAATATACTTCACTCCAAGTCCTCCCTGAATAGCTTAGGACATCAAATTAAGTCATCATCCATCCTTCTGTCGGCTGACAGCAGTCTACCCCATTGCATCCTCTCACATTCTTGCTCCCTCTTCATCAGGAGCACCCCCAACCCTCAGCACTCATCTTTGAGTGTTGTAACTGACAAAAACCCACCTGAACAAGAGCTTCCACCATCTAGGTACTGCATAGGCACACCACCACTCGCTTTCTTTGTCTTTTGTGTTGGTTTTGGTTGGTTTACACCACTGAACCACACTTTGACTCACAGTGCCTGCTGATAGACCCCAATTGGCTTGGTGCCTTCTTCATCCCCAGCATCCTCCCTCATAGTGGCAAGCTTTTTCTGCACATGGTTGTGATACAGTTCCCAAACAACCAACCACACAGAATACTTGTATCTGGACTGGAGAATGTTATGGGGCTTCTGGGCCCACAGTGGTTTCTTCAGCCAAACAGTGGCAAGCTACAAGTTATTCATTAGTCTTGGAAGACCCAATCAGAGCTGCAACTGCATACCCCCACCTTCAGCTGCATTTCTGCATGAAACATCTCAGTGTTCTTTTCTAATTTGTGCAGCTCCCCCAATATGGACTTCAAGATCATTGGTTGCTTTGTCTTTCTGGCCTCTTCCAATCCTTCCATCTGCAAACCAAGACCTCCAATTTGTCTATGTCAAAATTCTTGTGGTCCCCTGTTGGAAAATTATTCAGTCCATTGCAATGATGTCAGATTTTTGCACAGTGATAATCAGTTCATGATTAGATTGCATGTGAGAGTGCAGAGTTGCAATACACTGGCAATGCCATTGCAATGCCCTTTGCAACAGTGACTGCTACTGTCTGCATCTTGCTTTGCTGTCCACTCATTTTTCTTTATTGTATTTACTGTCTTTACTCTCACAGGATGCATTCCATTTGTTGACCAGTAGTATGCCTCTGGAAAAGCACACTACTACCTGTGAATCATGTGGGAAATCATTCAAGCCAACTGGAATAGGACCTCATTGCAAATCATGCATCAGGTGGGCTTGAAAAACAAATGAAGATCATGCTCACTTTGACTTGCTTTGTTGAGAAGGTACATAGGAATTTTACCAGTTGATTTTATTTCTGATTTACCACTGGATTGATTTGAGCAGGCATTTTTACTGGTGGATCAGTGACAGGGCCCTCTGTTGAGATGCATGCTGAGCCAGCACTAGGTAAGTTTCCTGCCACTCTCTGAATTGGACTCACACAATTGTTAGCAGAGCCTGCAACATTCTGGCCCATGGTTATGGATCTTGAGCTGCCTGCCAGCACTGATGTGGGTGTGAATGATGAACTGAATGGTGTGTGTCAATATGTGATCACATATTGTCCATGCCAATATGTTATGCAGTTGCTGAACCCAAGATCAATATCAACATTGTTGATGATATCCAAGTTGAATACCACCCAAATGCTGGAAAGCCAACTGTGAAAGTGCCATTCACCAAGTTCACCCAAGGTCATGCACCCAAGACATACAAACTGGATCCATGCACTGCTCTGTGGTACCTGTTCCCAACCCATCTTGACTTCAACCTCTCAGAATTCATTCATGATGCTACTCTCAACAAGGAGCAAGTAATTGTATCCTCAAGTGTTTGAAATGTTCTCACATTGAGGACTGGACTCTGAATAATTACAATGATCCTGAGAGCACTCAGTGGGCTGCTTCACACTGCATGACAGCAGTAAGTGTCATCTATTCATTGTCATTGTCAACCCTAATTACATCCTAGCCCAGTTTCAGACAATGATAATGAGTGCACCATTTGGAGGTGAGATGATGGAGTTTAAGATGTATTGTCATTTGTTGTGGGATTGGGCCTATGATCTCTTGAAGGATTCAAGTGTGGGCCCATATTTTGTATTTGGTGCTCAGTGCCTATCCAAGTTTGATGGTGCTTCATTTGTTCATTTCATTGATGAGCCATGGATGGCTAACAAATTTTGGGATGTACAAGTATGTCATTAGTTGTCTCTGCATGAAACTTCAACAATTCTTTTTCAGAGTGATCTACCTTCAGGTGGAAAAGTTCTAGCACTTGTTTTATATGCTGATACAGCCAAGTTGTCATCATTCGGTTGACAAAAAAGGTATCCAGTTGTTGTGTGGATTGTGAATCTACCTACTTGGATCCATAATGGTGAAGGTTTAGGTGGTGGCCATGTAGTCAGGTGGTTACCAATTGTAAGTTCCTTTGTTGACAGTGTTGAGTACACTGGCTGATTTTCTGTATTGTGCTTCTAATAGGTGAAGGAAGACAAGAGGTACTCTGGAAAGAAATCATTTGCCAACTTCAAGAATCACATTTGGCATGAATCATTCAAGAAGATACTAGATACAATATCAGAGTACTCAAAAACTGGCTATTGGGTAATGTGTTGGGATGGCATCACCTGCTGATTTTTTCCCACCATACTAATTCTTTCAGCTGATTATGAAGAGCAGTAAGTGGATATGCTGCCCAAAATATCATGAATGTAGGCTGACAATCTTTGTCACTCAGAGCAGTCATGGCACTCATACATGGTATGATGTCAAATCACCATTGCCCTGTTTGCCTTATCCATTAGGATGAGATATTAAAATTCCCTGAGGACTGTGAACCCCAGTGAAAACTGGCCATGGCCAGGTGTGACATGAGGTGACAATATGTGAAAGTAATGTGACAAATATGACATGGTTGATAATCAAAGTTACTCCTTCCTTTTTTGGCTATGTTGTGTTGTGATTGGTAAGTTGGATGTATCTTTTACACTACATAGCAACACAGTACACTGCACTGTGCACTGCTCTGGCTGCCTCGATGCCTATGGCATCTGCATCAACTCCCTACATATGCATCTGCAGCAAGTATAATTTCAGGCAGCCTCACCCAGTGTCAAAGGCAACATGGTACTGTCATTTTGTGGAGGCTGGGACCAAAGAAGAAAAGGAGTGCCTTTGATCCTCCCAAGTCAGACCCCATGCAGGCCACAGCTCAGAAAAACTCACTTGTTGTGCAGCTGTTATCCAAGTGATGGTGAAAAGGCAACTCAAAACCATGGAGGATGGACACCATAAACATGTGCACACTCATGAAAATGTGAGTCCATTTATTTTCCATTCTGTAGAATACTGATTTTGAGACTGATCATAGGAATCACTAGCTCCTGAGTTAGGTGGACCCACAGCATCCACTGATCCCTCTGTAGATGAGGTAAGTGGCTGTGGACAACCAATTTAACACCTTCTAACCCTCTAATGTAGGATCTACCAGCTCCTGATCTAGGCAAACTTGCAATGCCCACTGGACCATCTGTAGATGAGGTAAGTGGCTGTAGATGACTGATTCAATGCGTTCTGACCTCCAGCACAGGATTTACCAGCTCCTGAGTTAGGTGGACCTATGGCATCCACTGATCCATCTGTAGATGAGGTAAGTGGCTGTGGATGACTAATTCAATGTGTTCTAACCTTCTAATGTAGGATCTACCAGCTCCTGATCTAGGCAAACCTGCAACACCCACTGGACCATCTGTAGATGAGGTAAGTGGCCATAGATGATCAATTCAATGTGTTCTAACCTCCAGCACAGGATTTACCAGCTCCCAAGTTAGGTGGACCTACAGCATCCACTGATCCATCTGTAGATGAGGTAAGTGGCTGTGGACAACCAATTCAATGTGTTCTAACTCTCTAGTGTAGGATCTACCAGCTGCCAGGTTAGATAGAATGGCAGCACCTGCCAACATATGGCATGAGTGGAGGACACACCCCATCATTGACATCAAGACTCTTGTGCAATCTGCTGTACTCTCACCTATGTGCCAGTCCATGGAGTTTATATTGGCCCTCAAAAATGCTTTGCTCAACACAATGTTGCAAAACTCAGTACTGACGCCCTTGAGAGGTTGTGGACCCCCCCTGCTGAGGTCATTACCATCAATAATCCAGGCATTCACTTCGCCATATCAACCTACTTAGCCCTTGAGAATGCATCCCAACAGGTGTACAATCACATCTGCAAAGCAGCCCACATTGCCTTCAAGTGCACCCCAGCCATGGACTCCATCCTGAGCTTCTATAATGTTGAAAAACTCATCACTACCTACACTGGGGTCATCTCCATTGAACACAACATGTGTCACAACTCCTGCATTGCCTATACTGGGCCTTTTTCCCATCTCAAGGCCTGCCTGATGTGTTGCACTTCTCAATGGAAGGAGGAACAGCTTCAAGGAATTTGCAGGAGATCCAAGGTTGCAGTGCAGACATTCACAATGATCCCAATTGGCCCCCAACTGCAAGGCCTCTATCAGCACAAGGATAGTGCTTTGATATGGGATATCTCACTTGGCATACAGCAGAGGTCCTTCAGCAACTATGTGAGACTGGTTGCATCCCACTAATCAATGACATCACTATGGGTTGGGATTACCTTGGGGCTGTCCTCAATGGTGACATCAAACACAATGATGCCATTCCCATGCTCTCACTTGACAGAGCCCAGTTGTATGACAGTAAGGAGTCAGATTGTTGGATGTATATATGGATCATTATAAATCTGCCACTGGACAAACAATATCACAAACTCCATGTCTGCCCTGGGGGTTTTATTCCTGGCCCCAACAAGCCCAAGAATCTCGACTCACTCCTCTTTCCTGGCATCCATCATCTCATGGCCCTTCAGGCCAAAGGACTCCCCATCTGGAACACCCATACCAACACTTGCTACTCCTCCAATGTCTATCTACTTTTTATGACCACAGACAGGCCTGGTTTGATTTATTGGAATGGCATAGTTGGTCATAGCAGCAAGAATGGCTGTTGCATGTATTGTGGTGCCATCAGCAGACATAAAACAAATGGCAAACACTACTGCCCAGCACTACTCTGACCTCACAACTGCTGTGTCTGTGGCAGCAATCATGCTGACATCAACATGTTCAATCTCCCACTAGGTGGATGTGCCAAGTATGCCAACAATCTCAGAACTATTGTCACTGTGCAGAATCCCACACAATGGGACAAGAAGAAAACTGACACTGGCCTCACCAAACCACCTCTCATTCTTGTGCTCCAGCCAACTTGTTCTCTCTGCACTCCTCTGTGTATGACAACTGATATCATGCATTTGCTGAAAACATCAGTGACCTTCTCATTTCCCTCTGGCATGGCACCATCAATCATGTAGCAGGCAATGATCTGGAGATATGGCCATGGGCCATTTTAGCCAATGAAGAAGTTTGGCATGAGCATGGAGTGGCTGTCAAGCAAGCAGGTCATCATCTCCCCAGCTCTTACAATTGCAAGCCTTGTAACATTGCCAAAAAAATCAATACACAATACAAGACCTGGGAGTTCCAGCTGTACATATTTGCCCTCACACTGATTCTCCTCTATGACCTCCTGCCCAGATTGTACTGGGTGAATTACTGCAAGTTAGTTCACAGACTTCAGATCATGTGCCAACACACATTGACAGAAGAACAACTCCTCGATGTGCATGCACTCCTCTGCAGCTGGGAACATGAGTTCAAGTCTATCTATTACCAACTTCATGAGTGCCATATCCATTTTGTGTGCCCTTGTGTACACCAAGTCATTCATCTTGTACCAGAGGCAATTCATAAAGGTCCTCCCTTCTGTTATGTGCAATGGACCATGGAATGGACCATCAGGAATCTCAGTGAACAGATTTGACAGCCCTCCAAGCCCTACACAAATCTCTCTCATGAGGGCATCCACTGATGTCAAGTCAACTTGCTCATCTCCATCATACCTGAGCTCAATGATTCAGTCAACAGACTACCTTACAGCTCCCTTGATCTCTGTGATGGCTTTTCTCTGCTTCATAAATGTTCCAAGACCTCAATCCTTCCCCACAGTGATGAAGGTGCTGCCATTGCGCTATTTCTCAAGCCCAGACAACCTTTGCCACATATCAAGAAGTGGGCTCAACTTTGTCTTCCAAATGGCCAGGTTGTGTGCTCAGCTTGGAGAGAGAGTCTTCAACCTCCAGAGCAACTTCATGTCTCACACAATATAAAGGTAAGTATATCATCCTACTGAATTTGATCACTATGCTAACTGGCTCTTCATGTAGTGTCTTTGTGACAGTATAACCCACTGTGCCAAAGTCCAATATTTTACTAGGCTGCCAGTTCAAGCTGCAGATGGTAACTGGACTTTCACTGACATTGCAATTGTTCACTTGTATTCTGCACCTGATGAAGACTTACTGAAACTTTCAAATCATGTTCTCTTAGCCTCCCAACTGCTTGACACTATATCTGTAATTTGTGTCAAACAAATCATTAGCATCATTGTGATGATCCCACAGCAGGTGGTCTTGCCCTTGGGCATTGCAGAGTTGGTGTATTGTATAATGGAAAGGCCTGGATTTGATGTATCTGAATGGGGGGTTCTCTACAGCATGTATGTTGAAAGAGATGATGAAGATGATGGTCATGAGGATGTCAAATAGTGTATATATCGAACCAGATTCTTACTGCAGCTACATCTGAATTCAACCTTTTCATGAGTACAGATATCAAATGTATTGACAGTGTAAACATACAAGTATGACAAAACAAATTGTAGGTATCATAAAACTCAAGCTAGCCTATGGTGCTTCCCCCCCCTCTCAAGCCTATCCTCATACCTTTCCATTGCTTCCCTCCTACACATGATTTTGATGGGGAGAATGGAGGGATCAAACAAATGAATGTAGTACTTCCAAGGTCAGGATGGTGTGCCCTCCTTGGCCTGGGGATTTCCATTGTCCCAGGTGAGGACAGTGCAGGGCAATGGAGCTACAGTAGCAGACTGCCTGCATCAATTGTTAGATTTGACTAGATTTTGAATAATCTACTTACAGACTTGTGTCACAATCAGAATCCTCCAACACAATGCTGCACTTGCTATATTCTTCAAGCTTGGGAGTAACAGCCTGGCTGGCCTTGTGCTCGGGTTCTTCAAGCCTCAAAGTGGTAAAGTCCTGGCTTTCCCCCTCCAACTTGATGGGACCCTTGTATTCCAGCATGACATTCTTGAGTGGCACAGGTTGTGCATAGGGTTCCTTAACTCGAGGACAGCTGTATTTGTGGAATTCAGGGTGTTTGACATGTAACATGATCCTCTGACAAGTTCAATGAGATTAGCAAAGTCAAAAAGTAGATTGGGAGAAAACTTACTTTAGTTCCAGGAGAAGGCATGTCCAATGAAACGGTACAGGCATCCCAGTCAGAAGAAGGCCTTTGATGTTGACGACAATGACATTACTGACCATTGTAATAGTTGGAGCAGGAGCAAATGTCAAATTAGTCAGTGGTGACATTTCATTATGTTTAAGGTTACAAGGCACTTGGTAGCAGTTAATAAGGTATGGGAAAATATCTTCAGAGTCACATCCTCCCCTGTCTCTAGATTACCATGTACTCCCTCAATGCCAGCAACTTGCACTTCAGCTTCAACAACAGCTCATAATTCTCACCTCAGTCTGGTGACCCATTCTTGGCCCCAACAGGCAACTGCATTGATGATAATTTGATATTTTCTTCTTTGCAGCACAATAGTCCTGGTGTCCTACCCTCTCAACAACAGCTGTTTACACAATATTCACCCCAGACTTCAATTAATCAAGTTAATGTAAGTATAGTGAGTTAAAACTAGGTGCTTACCATATTATAGAGTGCATATATGTAGCAGGAGTCATGCATCACCTTTCTGCAAGATTGTTGCAATGCACTGGAATGGCATTTGGTCAAGGTAACCATGGAACATGACACAATCAGGTGAGATATTAGTTTACAGGCTATCTATTGCTAATCATTACACAGGAACCTCTTTGATAAACTCACAAATGTAGTCAACTCAGGAATGTGGGATCCAAGTTTACTCAGGAGTAACTTGCCTCTACAGCTTCCAATGACTGCAGGCAAGAAGCCTCTGATGTGCAAGACACCCAAAGGTGCAATTCTGGACAAGAAAAGACTACAAAGACTGGTTGGACTCCCCAGAGGCTGGAGGGAGCAATTGTGGTCTGTATGCATTCCTTGAAGATGAAAATGGTGATGTTCTGACCTCAGAAATGCTAACCAAGATTTGAAGAGCTCTATGTGCAGGGTGGATCAAAATTGCCCAATGCAAAATAGCACTGGATACTTGGGGTAGGGTGAGTATGACTGCCCTCCAATTCATATGGGCACATATGGAGAAAGACTTGCCTCTGTTCAAGCTCATGGAAAGTGGCTGGAAACTTGAGCATCTGTGTATGAAGACATACTTGGCCTGGAGAACAAAACATCTTGACAACCATGGCAACTTGAAGAGGACTACATGCAACACAATCAAAGGAGAGGCTCTCAACAACCACAATGACGTCAAAAGCCTCAATCCTGGCAGTAAGAAGTGCAAGGGACCCACAGACACTTCATTAATGCTGTCCAACAAGAAACAAAAATGTGAGTAATCCTATCTGATACCTTGTACTGATATGCGAAGCCATGGCAGCCTTGCAGTCCCAGGACCCATCAGAATCACCAAAGCTCACAGCACCAGACTCATCATCCACATCCATGCTGACATCTGCATCCACATCCACATCCCTCAGTTTGGGAGCTTGTGTAGAGTTGCCAATACAAGGTTTGCATCATATTCCTCTGCAGCACTGACTTACACCTGTATAGAACCACCTGAATATCCTGTCAAGGCTACTTCAGCACAATTGACCCCCCAGGATGTGGGCACAGACTTGGCCAACAAGGAAAACAATCCAAGTGTTGATAATGTCAATATCCTGACCATTGCCAAGAGTCCTATTGTATATAATCCTATGTAACTTCATGCATTGTTCAGGATTGCATTTACTGATTTTGGCATCAACTTTGCAGGAGTTTACTTGCAATGGCTGCAGGGAAGGTCAATGTATTGCCTGTCCCTCCCATTGTGGAGAGTCCATGACTTTCTGACAGCACATTCACCAATGCATCCAATGATTGCAAAACTGGCATGAGTGACTCAACAACCAAGGCAAAGAAGACTCTACGGCCATTGGGCATGAAGAATGGATGGTAATGAATGCACAGTGACATGCTTCATGTACATATGTTAATGTACTCAACAGGAATCTGTGTATGCTATGGTGGTTGAAGAAAATCAACCCCACAGACAGAAGGAAGATTTCTGCTTGTACTGGGATAAGACTCTAACACCAGCTGCATGTGAAGTAAATGATTTCACTTTCCATGTCAACTATTTTTACTGACGATTTGTAGAATTACAACAATGAAGCCAAAGAGCTTGTAAGTGATGAACATGCTGGAAAAGCACTCTAATGCATTATTAGGTTGTGAAGAATACCTGGACCAAGTCCATCATCGAGCAAGGTATTCTGCATACCACCTAGGCACTGTTTGCACTTTGCACAAAATTGCATCACATCAGATTGAACCACATTGCATTGCATTGTTATTTCCATCTGCTGGAATCATTGGCATGGGTTATTATTCAACTTATCTTGATTGTGTTGCATTGGCATTGCCAATGCTGTCTACTATTCAATTAATTGGACTTTGCACACACATATTGTACTCTCAGGCTGGCATCCCCTGCATCCAAACTGGGTCTCATGTATTAGTCCCCCACCCAGTAGAATGTAATACATGGTCACACCATATCATATTGTGTCATTTTCGAGCAGATGGTGCAGTGCCAGTGTGAATATGGCCTGATATCACTAAGTAATATCATGTCACACCAGGTCACATGCACTCATATTGAGCAAAGCCAACAAGGGCATGACTTAATGTGGCCAGATATGAGTCAGTATATTTGCACCAAAAAGATCATATGGTATCATACAGAGGTAGTACCCAGTCATACTATGTCAGTCTCATGTTGCTAGCAGGCTCTGACTCTGTGTGACCATGTATCACTTGCCCAGTTTGGTCACATCCTGTCACCTCATGTCACACCTGGCCATAGCCAGTTTTCACTGGGTGTGAACATCATACCAGCAAGAATGTTTTCAAGACATTACAGGAAGCATACTCACAGACCCAAGCAGACAGCAAGGAACAAAGTCTGGTGAAACAAGGACTACATGATGTAGATGCAAGTGGCTCATGCTGTTACCTTCCCTCTAGCTCTAATCACCTCTAGAGTGCCTTCTGGGAGGTCAGGAACATGGACATTTATCAAGTGTTGTGTTGGGATAGACTCCATGCCAACTGTGTGGGAAAATTTGGTGATCATTTGTGGGGAGAACTTTTGAGGATTCTCAAGACAATGGGTCATCAGATGATGGGAGAAGTTGAACAGAAGTGCATCTATCTCATTGCATGAAGCAGTTGTGCTAATAATTTACTAGTCTCAATGCAATGCCTCATTGGTGCAGTCTCAATCATTTTGAGCAAGTGCTTTCAGTTTCATATACAGATGGTCAAAAGTTTGAGGACCTATCCAAGGTATTGTACAGTGGCTCAAAAAAGTGTCCCAATGTTGGGTGATTTTGGAAGGATTTAAGATTTATGAGAGAACCAATAGGAATCAGTTCAAACTACTGCAGGACCAAAAGTAGCACTAGCTGTTGCCTTGACAACAAGGGCTTGTTCATGTAGTTCAGTTTTCATGGCACTGAGATATAACCATTTTAAAATGACATGTCATTGGGACACTTTTTTGAGCATGATGTTGTCAGCCATTATCTAGTAAATAACATAATGATTTGACAACTTCTGAAGGATATTTTGCTTCAATCATGCCTGATTATGTAATGTACATAATCTTGAGCCATAAAAGAGGCTTGGTGCCCACTCAGCTAACCCTACTCCACCATGAAATGCATTTTTGCCTCTGCTAGAGCAAATATCCATCTTCTTTCTGAATCTGGCCTTTCTGCTCATCAAATATCCTCTAAAGCTGGTCTGGGAAGGTCTACTGTGGCCAGGGTCATCAAAGAGTTCCAGCTAGATAAGGAAAACCTCAAAATGGTACATTTTCACTGGCTTTCTTCTACTGGCAAAAGGAGAATAGTCTCTAGTGTGACCTCTGGAAGACCTGAAAATGCAATCCAGGCCACCCATATAATAAGAGTGGCCATTTCCTCTCCTTTCTCTGCCCAAACTGTTTGTAGTGTGCTTGATTCTACATCCCTGAAGGCTATAGACAAGCTGGAGAAGCCACTCCTGTCTGGCAAGCACAGGCAACAGGGACTTCCCTTTGCTCTTAAGCACCAAAAATGGACTGGGGAGGACTGGAATAGGGTCAGCTGGTCAGTTGAACCCAAGATCAATAGTATTGGGCTTGACTACAGCTGTCAGGGATGCAGAATTGAGCACACTACAAACAGTTTGGGCAGAGAAAGGAGAGGAAATGGCCACTCTTATTATATGGGTGGCCTGGATTGCATTTTCAGGTCTTCCAGAGGTCACACTAGAGACTATTCTCCTTTTGCCAGTAGAAGAAAGCCAGTGAAAATGTACCATTTTGAGGTTTTCCTTATCTAGCTGGAACTCTTTGATGACCCTGGCCACAGTAGACCTTCCCAGACCAGCTTTAGAGGATATTTGATGAGCAGAAAGGCCAGATTCAGAAAGAAGATGGATATTTGCTCTAGCAGAGGCAAAAATGCATTTCATGGTGGAGTAGGGTTAGCTGAGTGGGCACCAAGCCTCTTTTATGGCTCAAGATTATGTACATTACATAATCAGGCATGATTGAAGCAAAATATCCTTCAGAAGTTGTCAAATCATTATGTTATTTACTAAATAATGGCTGACAACATCATGCTCAAAAAAGTGTCCCAATGACATGTCATTTTAAAATGGTTATATCTCAGTGCCATGAAAACTGAACTACATGAACAAGCCCTTGTTGTCAAGGCAACAGCTAGTGCTACTTTTGGTCCTGCAGTAGTTTGAACTGATTCCTATTGGTTCTCTCATAAATCTTAAATCCTTCCAAAATCACCCAACATTGGGACACTTTTTTGAGCCACTGTAAGTGTCTTACCAAGCTCTGATTTCACTGACATTTCCTGAACAGATAATCATATTCACCTGTCATGACATCTTCCCCTATAAGACAGCAAAAGATGATTACCTCCTGTTATGCTGTCTGCATGCTTGCATCAAGTTTGATATGTGTACCACACTTGAATTGCATATGACAGTGGATGTTGCAGTAGAGGTAGATGGGCAAAGCAGCTACTAGTTTTCATTACCATTAGTTGCAGGCATGTTTATTGTAATACTAGTTGTATGCAATTTCAAAAATTTTGTCTAAGTCTTGAAAAGCTCCTTAGGAGGTGTTGACACTTGTATAGAAAGATTGGCTGTGTGGACTAATGGTAACACATGCCAAAGTCTCACTACTAGTCAGCACTAGACTAACTAACACTGAGTCCTTAGGTTTGAATCCTGATGAGAGCAATAAAAAATACTTAGTAATACTCACTAGTTAGATTGGGCATGGGTAGTAGTAGAGATTTCCATGTAAGGTGATACTAATAGCATAGCATGTAGTAGACAAAGATAAGATAGATCAAAATCAGAATAGAATAGAATTGTGGTCAGGTGATAAGATAAGATTACAAAAGGTAATATAATATAAAATTTTTGTTGCCTTAGTTTGAAGTGTATTGCAATCCTTGGCTCTTGTTGCAATACATACATATGTCTTACAAACATGGTGCTCAAAAAAAAAATCTATTTAAACACACCAAATAGATTATAATATGTCTCTATATGCCCTTATCTGTATTGAACTCTTTTACTTGGAGATGATGATGGATCCATATCCAGTAGGTCATTCTCCCATTCTTCTCCCCAACAAAATTCTTCCAGTGACATATCACTCTGTTGGTGATATTTATCTGCCAGAGAAAATTCTTCAGCAACACATAGCAACTCATCATCCATCACTTCATCCTCATCCTCTTCACCCTCTGACTCCAATCCATCAAACTTCTCCTCATTATCACCATCAATATATATAACATGACCACCCTGCACTATGCTGTGCAGTTCTTCATCACTTGCACCCCAGTTCTCATTAGGTGTTCCAGGACAGCCTCTAAGTTGCCTCTTCCACAAGATGCATAGACCTGCTAGCTCAATGCTCTGCAGTCAAGTTCATAGGCAAGATCAACATCTGCAATGTGTGTTAGTCATGGTAATGCAATGACACATGTCTCTTACTAGCACTCTGTCTGCTTTTCTGCACATGACCCCACTCTTCAGAAAACCACTGTGTCAAAGCTCTTCTTTCCTGCAACAGGTACCTTTCCTCTTCTTCACAACACCTCAGCTCAAGGAGTGATCTGATCCCTGAGCACACTTTTTTATCAGCTAACCATGGGGGTAGTAACCCATCTGAATCATCCTCAAGGCCAATATCCTGTCAAATATCATCATCCACATCCAGTTTGACCAAAGAGTCCCTTGGGATCAGGAGTGGTGCTATTGACCCCTGGGGAGCTTTTCCCTTGTGTATGAGGCCTACAATTTGCAGACACAGATTATTGTAGCTACTGGCAAGCTTGGCTATTCCTGGTTCTCATCACTTCACAGATGTTTCTGTGTGGTTTTGAAGTCTTTGTTCTTCAAGGCAAGTCAAATACAAGGGTATTCATGAATGATGACCTCTTACCACTGGCAGTCTGCCAATATGAGCAAGAACTGGGTACTTGCCTACACTGCCATCAGACCAATGGAGTCAGAATAAATGATTAAGACTCACTTTCTGGTGCCTCTCATCAGCTGCAGTAAAGGACTCATTACAACCCTTCAGCACTGACATTGTTATCCTCATTCCCTCTTCAAGCTCATCCTCTCCATCACCAAGATAATTCTTTTTCAAAGCCTGTCGAATCCTCCATTGGGTTGAAGACTTTGACTTTTGCAACTTGTTAACCTCATGCTCCATAGCACAAATATCTTCTTGTGAAAGAAAGACTGTAGCTGTAGGGTTTACTGGATCATATGGATACTCACTTCTGCGCTTCTGAGTAAAACAAGCATCAATGCAAATGATTGCATCAACATCAGAAAAGCTAGAACAAAGGAAATTTTAGCAGTTAACAAAACTATATCCACCAAGTGACATACCCCATGTTCACTATTATTGCTCTGCCAGCTCTGGCCACCAAAGCACAGAGGACAATGCTGTCACAGGTATAAGGACAGACAGTGAGATCAACAGATTGCAGAGCTGCCATGAATGCATCTAAGCAGAGGAAAATGATGAGGAACACAGATATCTCACCATTTGAAATCAATGCAAATGACTCTCAGCTTTTGAGTCTGGTGACAACCACATGTTGGCAGTTTGTACTCAACAGGACTCTGGAAGTAGTTGGACAGTCATCAATATGCAAGGTACAGCTGAAGGAGGGAACAGATGACAGCATGTGGCCACCACTGCCACTGCTTCATTTTCTCTCAGGCATTCCTAGACAGTGACAAGAGCAGGTCTTGGCTAATATGTAGCCCATCAGTTAAGCAGTTGCAAGCAGCATCATGGGAGAGGTCACATTCACTACTTGCAGAATGCTCTAATGGGTGAGCAGTGCTTGAAGCAGAGTGGCATCAGATGTGTGGGTCAGAGGAATTACTGGGATGTTGTGTGGAAGTGCAACAGCCAGGTAAGGTGAGCAAGCACTCAAAAGGAAGGTAAAGCCCAACAGTTCTGGGAAAATGGCAGAAAGGTTCAGCAACCTGATGGTCAACAAGGACTGTGAGACCATCTGCATGAAGCAAGTCAGGAATCTGGTTCATTGGGCCCATAGCTTGTACAGAGGGACCACACCTAGTAAACTGTTTAGGTTGATGAAAAGACATCTATAAAATTTGGTCAGATGCATAAACTGTCTAGGCAAGTTAGTGGTAGATGATGATCCTGCAACACTTGGTTGCAGGACTGTGACCAGGACACTAAATCCTGGTTGCTGGAAGGCAACCTCAAGATGCCACCAGCATAGAAAAGCAAACTGACCTTTGCACATGACTAGCAAGGGTGATTGGGAAAGAGACAAAGCAAGTGTGCAATGAACATCAGAGAGACAGGGAATGATGGAACTGCAGTCACAACCAATCAGTGACAGGTTTAAACAGGTTTAAACCATTTTTTTGCTTCTTGATGAACAGAATAAGATTGCAACATGCTATGAACATCTTTCATGAAACATACAGAGTAAAATGGTATCAGGGAATGGTGCTCAGCCATGTGATTCTGCCTTCCAAATTTGGAGAGGATCCTTGCACCCTGTGCATTTCTACAGCACTCCATCCATCAGACACTCATTTTGCTAAGTCCATCAATCATGGCTGCCTCTTCATCAATCATCTTGCTTGTCTCATTTGCCAGAGACAGCAGCTATGTATATCTGCCAGGCATTCCAACCAGCTTCTGTCCTGAAGCCCCCTGGTTCATCCCATCATTGTCAGCCCCATCTCATCCCATGCAGCTTGGTCAGTGTGTTCTCCTTGTCAGTATGACTTCCAGAAGGACATTCTTTGGTCACCTCAGGTCTGTCACTCAATTAGCAAAGTCTTATGTGGCCATTTTGGTCTCCCCTCTTGATGAAGCATATGGATTGTTCCTCCCTGCTCCCTGCACTGTCTTTATTCCAATCTCATCCATCATTCTTCCTGCATTGTGACAGCTGCAGCATAGTCTACTGTTCTCCAGCCTCCCTGATTGCATTCATGACAAGTATGATGTGCATCTTGCCTTCTTACTGCAAGATCCAGCAGAAGATGTCCCCCCCTTCTCCCCCTCCTCTGTCAGAGCCCCATTCATGAAGCTTTTGTTAACTTTGCTGAGAGGATGAAAGGGTGGGAGACACAATTGCTTATGCTCCCATTGCCTCACAGACCCCCAATGCCCTAGAGCCCCTTTGATGCCTGACTCATGCCCTTCAATTCTGGAATCAATACTTCCCTATCTGGAAACACCATCCATCTGTCATGCCATCTTTGGGTCTAGAGATGTCTCCACCAAGATCTGACTTGCATCGCCACCCCCTAATGTGATATCAGTGTGCTTACTCAGTTTCTGACTCCATTTGATTCATTCTGTGATATTTTGACTGTCCTTGACTTGTTTATTGCCAATACTTACCAATCTTCTTTGCTTGCTTACTTTTCATTTCTTGCTTACTCAGTCCTTACTCATTATTTACCAAGTGTTTGTGCCTTGTTTGTCACAAGCTGCACTCCCCCCACAGTATATAACCCCCCATGTACTTAGCTACACCCCCAGTGAACCAGAAGCCATTCACTCAGCAGTCAGTTCAGCTCAGCATAACTCATTGTTGAGAGTTGAGGCTCATTCAGAAGAGTCTATCTGTCTTCATTCATATCATTGGTAGTTGAGGCTCTACACAGGGGTCTATCTACCTCCATCATTATCTCAAGCTTCATCCACACTTAGTCAGCAAGTCTGCTTAGTCATCCATCCACTCCTGCATAACTCATCATTGACTTGCACCAGGAGCATATTCTATTGAAGTCCATTACTCCCAAGTACTTTCAGCTGAACACCTTCACTCTGTTCAGCATCCCCTTCTCAATCAGCATTCATTCATCTTCTCCTGTGTAACTTGTCATTGACTTGCACTAGGAGCACCTGTCATCAAAATTTCCCCCACTTTAGGTTTCTCTGCCCTCCAGGTTCTGTGGAGGTAAACCACCACTTGCTCATATTTGTCTTTGGTGTTGGTTTTGGTTGGTTTTCACCACCTTTCCACACTTTGACTCACACCAGTCTCATATGTCACTGTACACCTTCATAGAGACCAGGTTTCCCTATAGTAACATTGCTGTAAGTGAAATGACACAAAATGAAAGAGAAATAATGAGCTGTTGAGCTCAGTGTGTGAATCTCCTTTGTCTCTCCTCCATTGAATGACTTCTATTGCTTTGAATGACCATCTATTGCCAGTGAACCACATCACCATCCCTTGTACTCTTGTTGCCTCTCCTAGTCACTCATATGTACTTTGTACCTCTAAACTTGATAGCATTTGTTTGTACTTGTCATGTACTCCTGTAAAGTCCCAGCAACAAACTTGCTCTCCATTCATGATGAAGAGCACTTGTCCTTCAACTCAAGAATGGACAGTGAGGCACTTGAGTTCATGTGAGTCAAATGGGGTGCTGAATGTGGATAGGATGGATTCAGTGTTGGGCATGGATGTGACATAGGGGCTGAGCATGCACATGGAGCTGCGCAACCTGCAGTGATATTCAGTTGTGGCACATATGGGAGGGAGAGTGCAGTGTAGAGATTCATTGAGCTTTGCTGTTGCACTCTCAGGGTCTAGCCTGAGTTCGCTCAGTGTGGTGGAAGAGTAAGAGGGAGGAGGAACAAGCTTGTTCCCTGCAAGTCTGTGTGCATGCATGATGTTCTCAATGAAGGTACAATTGAACAGATTATTGTTGTCACCAGTCTGGATGTGGGTTTGGCTGCAGTGACACACTTGATATGAACCACCCTCCACTTGATGGTCTCCAGGTCCAAACATCTCCTGGGCATCATTATATGCATCAAATGACTTCTCCAGAAAGGGTACTCACTCATTGACATTCACAACATCAGTGCCAATAGATACAATGCCTGTGGAACTTGTGTAGATGAGCCCACAGACACCAGCTGCAATAGCTGCATCAATGATGGCTCAGGCCTTGACATAGATGGGCAGGTCTTTCATGCCTCACTGCAGTAAAACTGTCCATATGACATGTGCAATGCCTGATTCCTTCAATATACATCAGTAAATCACTTTTGCTGGCCAGAGCTGTCCAGAGCTGTCCAGCACTGGACAGATTCCCTAGGACTACCAGCTCACAAAGTGGTCTACTGATGTATCCAACATGTCCTGTTTGTCTTCAATGTTCCCCAAATAAAATGGGACATCATGATGTCTCTGCACAATATCCAACATGGGGACAGCATCTCCCCTCACTAGTTGTTCAATGATATGTTGACCTATAGATTTGGTTGGTCATCTTGTTCCAGGCCTTCATACTGTAGGTGTGCTGTTGCTTGAAGGTTTGTTGACACTCTGTAAAAACTTGTGTTCCCTAAAATGATGTAGCTGTAAGTGAAACACTTGAAAGAAAAACATAGAACTTGGGCCTTCAAGCCCATTCAGCATGGTCTTGATACACCTTGTGTGTCGTGTGTGGAGTTGCGACTCTGAAATACACTGTTGTGATAGATGCATTCCTTCTTCAATATCATTGTCCACTCTAATATAACCTAACTGTGAGTAAAAAGCTGTACAACTAAAATAAAAACTTGGGCTGTCACACTCAGCATCCATGTCTGTCAAATCTCATATCCTCAGTGATTGTTGCCATAGATTGAACTGTAGTCTTCGCAGTTGTTTCACCATACTTCATTCATGGTTTGTTGTAGCTTTGTTGATACCTTGTAACAAGTCATACTCCCTAAAACAGCATAGGTGTAAGTAAAATGGCTTAAAGGCAAAACTAAGGCTTGGGCCTTGGAGCCCACTTGGTGTGGTCTCTATACTCTTTGCATGTTGCACATCTTGCCATGACTTTGAAATTTGCTGTTGTAGATTGAACCACATTCATCACACTTGTCTTTCTGTACTCCTGCAGGACCTTGGTTCGTAGTTCTTCATAGATTCTCAAATAGCAATAGCTAGGATGTAGGTTGTGCTTTGTCACCTATACCCATTTTCCTTAGAGTAGAAATACTGTAAGTAAAATGCTCTTGAATCAAAATGAAACCTTGAGCTGTAGTGCTCAGTATCTGCACTCATTGTGCCTTGTGTCCATTGAACAGCTGTTCCAGCATTGTGCAGTCTTCAGTCTGTGCTGAGTGTTGTTGTCATTGTCATTCTTTGCACTGCAGTGCCCTGGATGTCGCTCACATGTCATCATTTACAGTCACTTTCCCTAGGATAAAGTAGATGTAAGTAATGCATTCCAGAATCAAAACAGACCCTTGGGCCATTGAGCCCAACATCTGTGCTCATCACACCTTGTCTCCACTGAATGGCTCTTCCAGCCTCACATGACCTTCCATCCTGTAGAACTTTGTATTCCCTAAAACATGGTAACTGTAAGTAAAACACTTCAACAAAAAGACTAAACTCTGGGCCATCAAGCCCAACCAGTGTGGCTTCAACACTGTTCGGATGTCACATGCCTTGCTGTGATTCTGACACTTGCTGTTGTGCTACCCTTGGTAGCTGTCCTCAGGTGTAAGTCCACAAAATCCCTTCAAATGTCTCTCTTTGGGCACTTCATAGTTGCCATAGTTGTTGTGCTGTATATCCTTGTAGCTTCTGTACTAGATGAAAAGAACAATACCACCTTTGAGCCTTCAGCTTGCTCTGGCTGCTCACCCCATTCATAGTAGCTTCATTGGATTGCTTTGCATAGCTTCTCTTCGATGGTCCACTGACTTTCCTTGTAGGTCATCGCAGTCCATCATATCATGGCTGATTGGATGTAGCTTGAGTGTCATCTCACACATCCATTTTTCCTAGAATAGAGTAGTTGTAAGTAAGACATTATGGAATCAAAACGATACCTTGGGCTGTCGAGCCCAGTACCTGTGCTCATTGTGCCCCATTTCCACTGAATGGCATCTCCTATCTCATACATCTGTTGATCTGCTCCAAGTAATGTTGTTGTTGTTGTTGTCACCATAGTTGTCACCATGGTTGTCACAGTTGCTCTTGTTGTACTTCTGGGTGAGCTTCATTTGTAGCTTGTCTTAGAATCTTGAATTGCAATTGCCAGAATGTTTGTCACACATTGTCACAACCAACCGCTATCCCTAGAATAACATAGATGTGAGTAAGGTGTCTCAAAGTCAAAACAAACCATTGAGCCATAGAGCTCCATATCTGTGCTCTTCATGCCTCAATCCCATTGAATGGCACATCCAACATTGCTTGGTGATCGATCTGCACTAAGTCTGACTGTCATTGTCATTCCTTGTATTGTGATCTTCCAGATGTCAGTTGCTCTTCATCATATATAGTCATTTTCCCTAGTGTAGAATAGATGTAAGTAAAATGGTCTAACACTGAAACAAACCCTTGAGCCCTCAGGCTCAGTATCCATGCTCATCATGCCCTGTTTCCATAGCATGGCACTTCCTATCTTGTATGACTGTTTATCTGTGCTAGGTAAGGTCATTGTCATTGTCATTGCTATCTTGCTACTCACTGCCTTTGTCACTCTTGTTGTCATTGCTGTCACTTGTAGTCATGGTAGCTTCCATACAGTACCTTGTTTGCCCCATTCTTCATATCCTTTGATCGCTGCAATCTTGCATAGTTGGCCTGTAATACTAGATGTGTCAGTATGTAGTACTTGAGTGTGTGCAGCCACAATGTGCAGAGTGTTCACATGACTCAGCTTAGTCAACATCACAGGACTTTCTGCAGAAGTCCTAATACTGAGCATGCATGTCAATACTCTCAATGAACTCCTGAATAAAATATATATTGCTGACACTGTGCAGCCACAGAACATTTCAAGTGCGAGGTCATCCACCCTCACCACATGCTTCAACATTTCAACTTGCAGAATTTCTTCCAGTGGCTTCCTTTGTGTGACCAGCTTTGATGGCCTCTTGATCTTGACCCTTCTTGAAATAACCTTTGACTTGGTAAAATTCATGCATTGCAGCATTCTGTGTGAGTCTATGATACCTTTGTCTGCCAACCTTTTTGCTTCAAGACTGTCTGTGAGCTTTCCAAGCTCTTTGACTTCAACTCTTGTGTGCTTTGTGTGCTCTTTGAGCCTTTCTGCTTCAAATTCAAATGGAATCTTTGACACAAGCAGGTCATCAGTTAACTGATGTGCTTCCCAGCTGACTGCAGGAGCTTCGATGGGGTCTTCTTTAAGACTTTGATACCTTATACCAACAGTATCAGTAGCTAATTGAGGACTTTGGTGAAAGCGAAACAAGGGACCCCTTCGAGTGCACTTGCTTGCCTCAAATTTGATTTGGACCTTTGTAATGAGTGGTTCTTCCACCAGTGCTGGTTCAACTCACTCAAGCTCTACTGCTCCCTGTAACTCAGTAGTCAGCAGTTCATTCATACTCAAAGAAAACTCATTCATCTTGAAACAGGCTGCTGCTGCTGCTGCTTTGATGAGCCTGCCAGGACTTCAGTGTTCATTATTTGCCTTCTCAGATGGACTGTGTGGCTGTGCACAATTTGTTGATGCTACTTTTGACACTTTCTCATGTTCTATGTATCCTGATAATTCTGTAGATCCCTGCACATTGGTTGTCAGTGAGTCATGTGTAGCTGTAGGCAGAAAACACTTCATAGGTAGTTGTTGCTCGACCAAACTAGATCTCTGGTCGCTTCAGGGCTCATAGTAGTCTCCCATTGTGAGTCAAAGTGTGGTTCAGTGGTGAAAACCAACCAAAAACCAACACAAAAGACAATGAAAGCAAGTGGTGGTGTGCCTATGTGGTACCTAGATGGTAGAACCTGTTCTTTGGGAGGGTTTTTGCAAGCTACAACACTCAAAGATGAGTGCTGAGGGTTGGGGGTGCTCCTGACGAAGAGGGAGCAAGAATGTGATAGAAAGCAATAGGGTAGACTGCTGTCAGCCTACAGAAGGATGGATGGAGACTTAATTTGATGTCCTAAGCTGTACTGAGCTCAGGGAGGGCTTGGAGCGAAGTATATGGATGATAGATGATGATAAGCGAAGTAGATGATAGCTAGACCCTTAATAAAGTCTCAACTATTGAAGCTGATGAATGATTTACTGAGAGATGATAAATTGCGAGCAAGAGGGGCTCTCTGATGTCTTTTTTTTGCTACCTAAGTACAGTGACTTATATACAGTACAGGGGCATTGCCTATGGAAAACAAGGTGTAAACACTTGGTAAGCGATTGGTAACTGATGAGTAAGGAATGTAAGCGATGGGTAATCATCTTGGAAAGCATTGGTAAGCATTGGTAAGGATAAGTAAGCCAAAAAGCGAAGAATCAGTAAGCAAAGTCAAAAGATTGGTAAGTATTGGCAATAGGTGAGTCAAAGACAGTCAGAATGTCAAAGTATGAGTCAAGCAATGTCAGGAACCAAGAAAGCGCACTGGAATCACATCAGGGGGAGGCTGTGCATGTCACATCTTGAAGAGATTGCTTCTAGGCCAAAGTGGGATGACAGAGAGGCAGCACTGATCTGATGCTGATACAGTACATCCAAAAGTGGACAGGGTGAGTCAGATGTCAACAGGTGTCAAGCTTTGGGGGTCTGTGGGGTGACAGGAGCATAGGGGATTGCAACTTCCCCCCCCAAACCATCCTCTCAGTGAAGCAAATAAAAACTTCATGAACGAGGCTCTGTTGGAAGAGAGGATGAAGGGGGAGCATCTTCTGCTGTATCTTGCAACAAGGAGGCAAGATGTGCATCATACTCATCATGGATGCAATCAGGGAGAGTGGAGAACAGTAGATTATACTGTAGCTGTCACAATTTTGGAAGAATGACGGACGAGACTGGTATGAAGACATTGCAGGGGGCAGGGAGGAAGGATCCATATGCTTCTTGGACTGGAGAGACTGAAATGACCACATAAGACCTTTCCAAGCGAATGACAGACCTGAGGCGACCAAAGAACATCCTCCTGGAGGTCATACTGACAAAAAGAACACAGTGTCCAAGCTGGATGGGCTGAGAGGGGGCAGATGAGGGTGGGATGTACCAGGATGCTTCAGGATGGAAGCTGGTAGGAACTCCTGGTAGATATATGTAGCCATGGTCCCTAGCAAAGGGGACAAGCAAAACAACTGATGTGGAGGCAGCCATATCAGAAGAATTAGCGAAATGAGTGTCTTATGGAGGGAGTGCTGTAGAAACGTGTGGAGTGCGCAAATCCTTTCCAATCTTGGAAGGTAGGATCACGTGGCTGAGCACTACAAGCGAGTGTGGGAATGGTTTCAGTGTCTGCAGAATTGGTGGAGATACGTCGAAAACCGGAATGCCATACACGGGCACTTAAGAATTTTACTGGCGCTTAACCTGCCTCCTCCTTTTTCTTTGGCATTGAACCTGTTCTTGTGCGAGGGATGACTGCCGACATTGCTGGCTGTCCTTCTTCACATGAGGGCTATGGTCTTCACCTCCATTCATCAGCTACATCCATGTCCACCTCACCAAACACCTTTGGTGTGTGACAGCACATGAAACTCCTGAGCCAGTACAAGAATGAGAATGATGAGGGAATGACTTACATCAGGCCAGTGGGGCCAATTCCCCTTTCACTTGCCATGGTACTGGACTGGTGCCATGCATTGGTAAGTCCTTTGCTACTCATGAACATTCTATCCCTAAACTATCTGTAGGATGAAGGGCAAGCTATGTTGTCAGTTCCCCCAAACCTTGAGTCTTTCAATTGGAGCAACAAAGCGCCATTTTTGCATCCAGCCTGCAAAGTGCAAGCCCAAGCATTGCAAAATATTGACATCAACTCTATTACCAGTGTTCTCCTTCTTCAGACACTTGCAAACTCCAGCCTACTGTCACCCAGTGTATCTAGAGCCCACACTTCTCCAGTTCCACCTCCTGTGACACCCACATGCCCACCACTGGATCCTCCCATTTCACCACCCATCCCATCTCCATCTCATCTCTCCTGCTTTCTTTGCTATGCTGAAATGAACCTCAGTGTTCACAATGCCACCCTCTATGAATAGGAACTTGAACTCCAGTCAATCAGGCCTGACATCCTCATGGATATCAATGACCAGACACTCACTAGGGCTGGTATCACCACTGGTGACATCATTCATCTCAAGAAGGGAAGTTTACGTTGATGGAATGGTCCTGATGTGAAGAAGAAGTGTAGCAACACTGGGGCATCATCAGGCAATGAGTGAGTGGGCCAAGCCTCATCCCCACCCACCAGGCCATCAAAGAAGATCACATATGAGAAGCAATTCAAGGATGGTGGTGGGTGTCATTTCACAGCATCTCCGATGACAATTGACAAAGACAATGATGGTAGCAAGCTGGCCCTGCTCAACTATGACCTTTATTGTCACTGTGAGAGTCAAGATCAGTGGTTACCTGTGCCCTGGGGTTTCATTGTTGATGAGACTGGGGAGGAATCAGAGGATGACTTTTTTTCTACATAATGCCTACATACCTTGCTTCATGTAACACCTATGTCATATACATAGGTATCATATCAATTGCAATGTTGGCCTAGAGGCTGTTTTTCACATTCATACTATGTTGAACCCACATGCAAAATCAACTGGTAATTGAAGGGGGGAATCTACTTAGACACAGCAATACAGTCACTACACTATGTACCAAGACACACAGAAATAACCCTCAGCCCTTTCAGGCATAATACTTTGACATGTGCAAACAATCACCATCATTGATAGGTTGTCCAAGTGGCAACACAAGTATGCCTTGATCATAGAAAACACTTGCTTGATGGGGTTGTAGTCTGGTGAGTATGGCAGGAGATAGATCAACTTGCAAGCTGTGAGACATCAGCAGAAGAAACATCAATTGATTGATAGTGATGTACAATGCATATCTTCAACTAACTTGTGAATTTCTTCACCATGGTGAATGTGGCAGTTGTCCATAATAATAATGCTGCAGGGGCCAGGATATGGGTTGGTGAAAGGCATCTGTTGGATAGATTAGCATGTACAGGCTTGAAGATGATTCACTTATGACATGCTCCTTCAAACATCACAGAAAACACTCTCCATCAACAGTGCCCTTGATGATATCATATGTGATGATGCCATCAAGCATGATGGCAGGGAGAATAGAGTAGTGCATTCCATGTATGAAGTACCTCCTGACTTGGCAATGTAGACCTGTGACCATTTGCCCGTGCAGGCAAGTGGAGTTACACTTGTCCTTGGAAGTTTCATCAATGAAGACAAGCATATTTGGGTCTGGCACTTCTGCTGTGATGCAATTCATGTAGAGCACATGTGACTCCTCATTCCTCTCAGAGGCAGATGTGGAGATGACCTTCTGAGTGATGTGGAGGCCCTGAAGAGTTTGAGAAAGTGTAGATGGAGTGATACAAACTTGACACTTGAGCCAGAGCTCCTCTCAAAGCTTGTCTAGGTAGATTGTGCTGCAAGTGGTAGAATGGTGCATTGTTGGGATGGAATAATGATGCTTGTGGTTATTACATGAGTAGTGAGTGGAACAGAAGGAAAATATCAGAAAAGAAGATTGGTGTCATGCTGTATCATGATAAATACCAGGTGGAACGAACCATAAGGAATATGCAACAACCAATACAGAGAGAGTATGTACCACTTCATAATAATGTATGCATGCAATGGTAGTGAGCAGAGACTTGAACAATTCAGACTCTGTTCATGCAGGTCTCATGCATGTGATTGAAAATGAACCTGCACAACAAACCCTTGAAGGGCCAAACCCCCCCCCCCCTCAAGAATGAACTGTGGTGAATGCTGAGACAGGGGAAGGAACTGGACGGAAGATGTAATAATAAAAACAGAGGAAATACATCACTAATAAGTGGAGACTCGAACCCCTGAAGGCCCAAAACAGAGGGAATACATACCACTTGGTAATGGAATATGTGTGCAATGGTGGTAAACAGAGAGCCTTGGAAGATGAGCTCTGTTTGTGTGGGTTTCATGCATGTGATCAACAATGAAACATCAGTAAATGCTGGAACAGCAAGAGAAGAGTAAGGAAGATGCAACAACCAAGACAGAGGAGATATGTACCACTTGGTAATATGATACACATGTGACAACAGTGAACAGAAAGGCTTGGATGATGCCATGACTCTGTTCCTGAGGGTCTCATAGACACAATCAACAAGAACCTTTGAAGGCTCCAAACCCCCAAGGGTGCCAAGCCCTCAACTCTTGTGGACAACCATGCCAAACAGTTGGGGCAAGAACAGATGGAGGTCAGTAACAACATGTCCATGAACAGATCCCAATCTTGAAACCTTTGTATTTGCAATATCTCCACTTACCTGCACCAGGTGGAAAATCCATTAGTAGTTGTGTTGTTGGTTACACTTGAGCCAAATTAAAAATAAAAAGCAAAGCTTTATACAAAACAGGTATGTTTACAGGGTCACCATGAAAAATACTCTGGTCAAAGTATGCCAACACTTGTCTGCCAGGGACA